CGGAGGTGCTGGATATCCCTGCACATAGGTATGGTCTCTTTGTAATTGTGTTTACCTATATTTGTAAATTATATTATTAAGATCAGAGATGCACAATGTGGTTGTCTGTAGATGGCTTTATTGCCTTCCTGTGTATTTGCAAATTACACAAATTTTTTACTTAATTTTGACAGCATAAATGTATCAGTAAGGCGCATTGGTGGGGGATACGGTGGCAAAATTACCAGACAGCATGTGGTGTCATCAGCGGCGGCCGTGGCATCACGGAAACTAAGATGTCCCGTGAGGATTGTTGTTGACCTCAATACACACATGAGTCTTGTGGGGTGGCGAGAGCCCTACCTCTCAAAGTACGAGGTAAGATTGCGTGGATATGGGATGGGTCAACTAGAAAGCCTTATTCTCTTCTCAGGATCATTATGTATATGTTAAGAAGTGTGTTTATATGTATTCAAATAATGGGAATTGTCCAATTTTATCATTGCACTATGATTTAATTGATATTACTTCTTCACCATGACCTAGGTTGGTTTTGATGATGATGGCAAGTTCCAGGCCCTCAAAGTCACCATGATCTCGGACGCAGGCCATGCGCCCAATGAGGCCTCGGTGGGATTCCTCGCAGGTCCTGTCCAGAATACCTACCATATCCCCGGTCTGCTTTTCAGGCCAGTCATTGTTCGGACAGATACAGCTGCCAACACCTGGTGTCGAACCCCAGGTAAGTAGGTTTCATTGAGGATGTTTCTGTTACCAGAATACTTTTGATATTTTGAAGTCTTGTTAGAATTGTATACTAAATAATTTTGTTGAATGTTTTGAACTTGCTTGCATCTTTAATGTTGGACATTTTTTAAAGATTTTGTGAATTTTAAGGTTCTGTAAATGAAGTTGTAATAAGTGTAACTGGTTGTGAGATATCAATTTTGTATGGACAGAGATAAAGTAGAAAATACTGCTTATATGATGAAGTTTAGTATTTCTATCTTTAGAGCTCCCAGTAAATGTCTTGATCAGTTCTAATGTTATTTGCAATTTACAATTTACAATATTCTGTGGACTGAAATCTATTTTATATATCCCAAATTATTCCTATCCCCAGACCAAAAATGTAATAATCTCAGGCTCTTTAAATTAATACACCAACCCCATTACCTGCAGGTACTGTTGAGGCCCTGGCAACAATTGAGAACATTATAGAGCACATCGCCAACTATCTCAAAAAAGACCCAATGGAGGTGCGTCTTGTGAACATGGTTGAGCCCGAAGTGCCACGCCTCATGGCACCCCCTCTTGAGAAGAATGTGGTGAAGGATGAGATACTGCCATTGCTCAAGTCTAAGGCCATGTATGAACTAAGGAAGGAGGAGGTGGAAGCCTTCAATAAGGTTACTGGAGTTTCTTTTTGTGTTCTGTTTTTCACTTGTGTATTTTTTGTTGAGATTGGTCCTTTATTTTTATTTATTTGCTTTTTTTTTCTCCAAATGACTTTGAAATTAGTTATATACATTTGAAGTGTTTTTTTTTTGTGATCAGGTATCTATAATGCCTTGATACAAACTTTAACAAATGATACAGAAAAATGTCAGGAAAAACAATCTATACAATTATGTTTTAGCAGGTTATCCTGCCATTTGGCCCAACGAAAAGATCTTGTATAGCATTGGTATATTGCTGAAATACTTCTCCCTTCAGCTGAAACATTGACTCCACAGGCAAATCGCTGGAAGAAGAGAGGCCTGTCGATCGTGCCCCTTTGGTATGGTTACAACTACCCTTCCATGTTTCGATACGGAATCCAGGTCTCCATCTACGAGCATGATGGTACAGTAGCGGTGACACACGGTGGCATCGAGATGGGACAAGGTATCAATACCAAGGTGTGTTTTGTGAGTTTTTTTTAACTTTCAAGATCTATGAATCATATTTACTGTTCACAAATTGGTTGGAAAGATGTCTATTGCATGATGAAAATATAATTTTAAAATTGATTTTCATCATTAGTTATTGAACATAGTGTATTGTGTATATTTATGAGGTATAAGACAAAGAAAAAGTATACAAGAAAACTAAAAGGAAATTTCTAATCAGCAGAATGAATCTCAGTGATTATTAGTTAATGATACATACTACCTTTCCTTGATTATTTATTTGTCAGGTGGCTCAGGTAGCAGCACACACTTTGGGCATTCCTATTGAAAAGGTGATCATAAAGGCTTCTGATACAACTGTTGGTGCAAACTCCATTGTAACAGGAGGATCTTTTGGAACGGACATTTGTTGTCATGTGAGTAACAGAGTTTGATTCCTTTTCACGTGTTTTTCCTGGGTTTCCCCTCCTTTCCCCTTGTTTTTCTTAAGTTTTCTTTCCGTTTCCCTTGTTTTTCAATTGAGTTCAAGAGTTCAGTTAAAGGGAAGTACATATTATATTTTCTAGTGATTCTTTTTTTCTTCCTTGTTCTCTAAAGTGAACCAAAATGATTTTCACGTCTCCATATAAAAACTGAATGGGAGTGCTTCTTATTTCAACCTCAGGGCACAAAGATTGCCTGCGAAGCTCTCCGTAAGAGGATAGATGCAGTCAAGGATGAGGAGTTAGAGAAAGACCCGGAGAAGGAGATGTCTTGGGAGCAGCTCATCAAGATATGTCACCTTAGGGATGAGGACTTGTGCGAACGCTATTGGTATGATGGTTATTGTGTTCTGTTACATGGTATTCTATTGTTCTGTTTTGTTCTATGGGTTTGAACTGGGTATGATGTTATGATTCCAATGTGTTATAGCAGAACAATTTACTATGCACAAGGTAAGTTCATTTGAAGATGGTAGCTTATTCCATTTATGTGGAAAGTAGGTTTTTCTTGTAGTTGATCAACAATATAGAGTATTACTACAATGCAGTATTGAATTCTTACTTACAGGCTATATCATATATGATGCACTTGTCAGTTGGTTTGTGCAATTGATAATTTTGTTGCTGTTTAGCAATTTTATTTACTTTTTTACCATTTGCTTTGACTTATGTGCTGTTTTTATTTATTTATCTTACAGATTCTTTTTTTTTTATCATGATCAAGGATTTTATGCACATTCATTTATCAAATAGTGTTTAGATTTGCTTCTGACTTGTGATAAGAACTATAAGGAGCAGTAAAAAACTCAATTTCCTTCTTTTTTTATGATTTATATGGATTTAAAGCTCTCTCTCTGTTAATCTCATTCTAGTCATAGCAGAGTTGGAAGTAGGACCTAAAACAGATATCACTATAATCTGATATAGCATAGTCTATAGAACATTGAATGAAAACATAGTTAGAGTTAAAGATATTAGGTATTGAAGTAGTAAAATGAACAATAAAGAATTTTTTAATGAAATGACATTATCTATCAAAAGCTGTAAACAAATTCCAGAAATATATATATTTTTTTTGTGATTGTATAATACTAAGTGGCATAGATTTAAATAACCTTTAATGCTTTTCAAAAAAACAAAAAACAAAAAACAAAAAGGACTGCTGGAAAGGAACATCCCCGTCGCTATGACATATGGGCTGCCTGTTGCCTCGAAGTTGAAATTGACGTCCTCACTGGACAATACCTGGTTAGTTTATGCTTTCGTTTAGGTATATTTGGTTATATTTTAGGTGAAAGTTTACTATATTATAGAGATTTTCTTTTATCTCGGCTGGCTATTGATTTACTTGGCTGTATTTTGTATTTCATGTGTCTTGAATTGTAATATTATTGCATAAATTTAATCCTAATATTTTGAACTACTTACAGATATTTAAACTATTTTTTTTTTTTATCAGTTTATTCAAAATACTCATACCTTCCTGAATACATAGTATATGTTTTCTGGCAATATTCCATCCTAATACACATAGTTCTTGAACAGCTCCGTCGTGCTGACATCGTTGAGGACTGCGGGAAAAGCATGAATCCTTTTGTAGACATCGGACAAGTGGAAGGAGCCTTTATCATGGGCGTTGGTCTCTACACTTCCGAGTTGGTGAAGTTCGACTTGGAAACGGGTGTAAAGCTCTCTAATGGAACGTGGGTATGTGTCTCCATACAGTACTATGTTGCATTATGGTTTGATATTTTTGAAAAAATGAGTGGAACATAGACACAGCGAGGAAGGAAATACGAGATTTGTGTACTTCAATTTTTTTTTTTTTTTTTTTTTTCTTCATAATTACTTTTCTTGATTTTTTTTTTTTTTTTTTTTATTTCGAGGAAGTTCATTTTCCCATGAGCTTATTTTGTGTATAATCTATTTTTCAGTAATAGGAAATATTAAAAAATTAGTGAAGCATAGGCATAAACAAAGTTATGGTTATAAAGATAACTAAAATGCAACTATAAAGAAAAAAGACTTTTTTCAGACCTTTAGGGGTCTTCGTAGGTTAAAAGAAATGCAACCACAATAAAAATGCAAATGTCTGTTATAAGTTTCCTTACCTTATTCTTCAAGGGTTACTGATGAAACCTGAAAAGTAGTCATAATGATTGTTGAAATGTTTAAATATTTACACATGTAAATGTTTTTGTGTTTTGATAGACAGTCATAGGTACCTCAGAACCTTTTTGTTTTACTGTGTGTGTTTTACCAACAAAGCAGGTTGTTTATTTCAGCAATGGACTATAATGTTCATAATTAAAGGTTTTTGATTAGTTATTGTATGTTATTTACAGGAATACAAGCCACCAACAGCACTGGATATTCCTGTTGACATGAGGGTGACTCTCCTGCCTAATGCTTCAAACCCTTACGGTGTCTTGAACTCCAAAGGTAGGGAGATGTGGGACTTCTACTTCTGTACAAAGAGGAATTGAGATAACAAGCTTAGATGTTATATAGGAATTAATATCAGTGAATTGAATTGATAGGCTTAAAGAGTTCTAAGAAGAAAGGCACTTGTGTAGCCTTTGATGTCGAGATCTCTTTGAAGTCTTGTAATCTTCAAGAGCAGCTTTGTAAAATGAGAGTTCTTTTG